AATTTCGGAAAAGATTTGACTTCTCAAACATTTCACCCAATAAACATTAAAAAAAAAAAGAAAAAACATTTAAAACATTAAATTCTCGCCGCATTTACCAAGCCTGTTCGCACAGCGGTGCCAAACACTGAATAAAGGAGAAAGCACTTGAAAACATCTGCGGCCACATAGAAGTCCATGGCAATTGGTTGGCTCTCGATTCGGGATTCCCGGCCGTCACCTTCGGGGAGCAGGCAGCGCGTGAACGCGCACGAAAGTGCGGATGAAAATTAATGAAAGCACAATTGGTGTTAATGGCAGTGGCACGGCTTCCCCATGCCGGGGTCCGGCAACCTTCTGCATCCTCGTTACGGCGCTCGGCTCAGACGGCGTTTCGGGGGTCCCTGCTCGGATTTGTTTAAACTGCGCGGATCCACGATCCAGCCGACACGATCCAGAACCGAATTCCCAGGGCGACGCTGGATCGGGAAGACCGTTTGGAACGCGCTCGCTATTTATAATCCCGCGGCCCTCCGCGTGTGCCCGCCGGTGTAACACGCTCCGGAATCGTTTCAGCCCGATGCTAATTCACCGATTCCCGGTACCGCGGGCCCGCAATCTTGTCTTTTGCGCGAACAGCCTCCGGCCTTGACGTTCCGTGTAATTACTATGGTCGTATGAATGGTACCACGTTACCACGCGACGCGCGGCGAATTAAGCGGACCGACATGCATCCTGGACAGCGTTAACCGCATACGCTGCACGTGTTGCCTTTCAATGGGAGCGGCTGATTGTGCGGACGGTGACGAGACGGGGTCAGATGGTTAACAATATTGTATGTACGGACGCGGCGAACGTGAACTCTTTGATTCGCATCGGGTTCCTGGTGTCTATCTTGCTATCGGAATCACAGGTTACCGAATTATCCTCTCCTTTTCCCCGTGACTGGAGGCTGCAATTTCACAGCCAGGATGTGGCTCTGGAAATTGCGGGGAGGGATTATTGAATTCGAAGGGGACGCCTCCGAGTATCACGGGACGCGTCGGTGTCGTCTTATCGGCGGGTGGGGACATTCTTCAATTATTTTTGTAACGCGATCTGCGCGGGGTCTGAGGATGATGGACAAGTCGCTGTTCACTCTCGTACGAGGATGGTTTTCTTCCATTATTCTTCATAACACGATTTTAGATAATGGCGTATCTACGGAATGGCGAAGATACCAGGTCGTTCACGCTAGATTTACGGAAAAACAACTGTTTTATATTAGTCTATAAAAGTAACAGCGAGACATTTATTCTGATTTTTAGCGGGTATTATTGTAACATTTGCCGCAAGTATCGCGTATATTGAGTAAATAACTCGCGTATGTGTATTTTTACAAGCTGAATAATCGTAAATTAAAGAATTAGTGACCCGGCATTTTGACAGATTCCGTCAACCTGTGTTGTATGTAACCTAGTGTTAAGTATGAGATGCATAATATTAATACTAATATTACTAATACCTCAATGATCCGTCAGCGTTGCTGCTTCATCCAGAGCTTAAGGATGCACTAACGTTAATGTACAATGAGGAAGCACACTATTTGAGTATCTTAGATGAAGAAGAAAATTTATATTTATATTTTATATTTATATTATATTTTTTTGTGCCAACATCTACTTGAATGCTCAACCCTTTCAGTGTATAACAACGATATACCATCGTTGAGAAGACATTGAGAAGACATTGTTTTCTTAATATTTTTAATAAGTAACAGTTTTATTTCTTATTTATTCTACCCCCCCCCCTTTTGGAATTTTCTAATTATCAAGTTTTACAAAATTATTATAATTTTCTTTCGGGAACTTCATCAAATTACATCAAACAGGCTTTGTAAATTTCGCTCAGGTACACACGACTCTTTTGGTCGACGCCAATGTGCAAGAGTATTAAATATCAATCAAAAGAAAAAATAGAATTTTATTTCCACGCAAAAGACCGAAATAACATTCATGTTTAAAAGGTTATTGCTAAAAATCTGCATCGCGAATCACTCTCTGGAAAATGCAGCAAAGGCTGACTTGTTCTTCTAACAAAAGAATAGTCCCGAAAATGAAGTTATAAATTTGCATAAAAGTATCAAATACGACACTGCGATGCCCGGTAACAAATAGTCGCGGCTCCCTGCTTCGACCCAAGACAATATAAACTCCGACAGCTAGAAGTTGGAAATACGAAATCGAGCAACAACACACACACACACAAGTTCCATATCACCTTCGCCATTTTCAACTCCCTGCAGCCTTGAAACTTCTCCCGCCTAATGCTCGGGTCCATCAATCATCTAAACTCTCTCGAATCGCCCAATAAAGCCCGCGTGGACTACCGTTCCCGACTTCCCCGACTTTCGTTTCCGTTGCACGGCGAAGCGAAACGTAAATACGCAAAATATATCTTGAATTTCATAGTGTTGCAATTTGCACCCTTTTGGAAGCGGATTTTGTATATCGATGAGGCGAAGTTTAAGAGTGCAAGTATCTACATAATTTAATCGTTTATATAACAGATGACCAGTATCATTTTCTCTTCTTTTAGCATTTAGAATTTTCATCCATAAACTCGTTGTACCAAAAGGAAAAACTTAACGATACTTGTTTGCACCGTTGTAACAAAATCCATGCGTCAATTCATCTTTGACGCTGAACCTACCGTGACGTCAAAATGATTCACAATTTACATTTCAAAAGCATACATTATCATTAAAATGGCGAAAGGTCTGAATAGACACGGTCTTTTCATCGTTACGAAACAATGCACGTCGATCACTTCCAGGGCGTGGTAGGCTTATTTAAATATTCAAAGAATCCCGATGCTAAAACAATAAATCGCTAAAACAATAAACTATTATGTATCTGCCTATAACCGCAATTAGTAATCGCAATTCATAATCCGATTCGTCCGAACCTCCTCTTGTTCGCGATGTGCGAACAGTGCGCTTTTATATTACTTCGTTGGCAGAACATTATGGTTCGTCCACTTGTGAGAAAAACCCACGTTCTTGATTACTATTTATTATTTCGATTCCAGCGAACTTATTAACATTCGCGTTATGATTTATGCATGCACGGTGGAGCGGACGCATAAATTCTGCCGCAAACTGGGCCCATTCCGCCGTCCGCGGCAACTATCTCGCCGAAATTAGCATTAATTTTGATACTTTATGTGCAGCAACTTTCGTTCCCGATTTCCGCGTACAAAACGCGTGCAGAAATTTCTTGCGAAATTATTCCCGAATTCTGGACCACTGTGGAACGATGTCAAAGGCCTGGGCTGACCGGCTCGCGGCTCGTTATACGTATCTGCCGGGCGTTGGCTGCGCCGCAGATTCAAAGACGACGTAATTGCATCTCGTGCGCAATATACGCTACTTACGTATCTCTTAATTAATTCGTGCCTCGCCCCGCCCGGTAATTATTTCCATATCGCCAGACACGTACCCCCGTGACCCTCCTCCGGTGGCTGCGTCGGCTCGACGCCGACGCCGACGACGACGCCGACGCCGACGTCGGTGCCGTCGACGCCGTGGACGGAGCCGAGTACACACTGCGTGTCAGGAATATCGAGCATTTCCAACCTCGACCCCCGTGTATCGCCTCGATTCTCCCTTCCCTCTTCCACCCCTTCCTTCCCCTTCTTTCCTTCCCTCCTTCCTTCCTTCGTTTTATTCGTAATTAATTACGCGGCAACGAGATACACGAACGATCCGGGGGAAAAAAAAACCGGAATGCTTATCGCCGCGAAACAATTCACTTTCCGGGATGTTCCCGGCGAGATATTAATAGCGCCGATGATTTCGTTCGCGACGAACGCCGTTACTCTGGATCGACCTCCGCTCGAGATCGGCGTGGATCTTGATTAAGGGTTGATTCACTGTTGATTCACAGAATTTTTCGTGGATCAGAGTTCGGCGAAAATTAATCCGATTAATGATTAACGATCGCGACCAACGCGAAATCATGTTCGTGATTAACGATTACGAGCAACGTGAGATCATGTTCGTGATTAATGATTACAATCACTAGGCAATCAACTGATCATGATTAATGTTTAACTTAAGTGATCGAAGAAAATGTAATCGTTGGTCATCATTAACGCAGTAATCATTAATCACGCAATGATTACTTTTCTTATCGTGATCGAGATGAAAAATTTTTGGTATTTTTAATGATAGCTCTGAATAGTTTTTAGACAATCCGCGTGTATTTCAGCGGAAAACCTTTTTTATTCGGGCGCCGAGTGAAATGATAGATTAATCGTTCGTTCGCGATTATAGATTACCGATTAATGATTACACGTTGTTATGATTACTTTTCGTAATCCATTGTTAAAGTAATCAGAAAATCATTGATTAATGCCGGACTCCGTCGGGGATGAAACGGAGATCGTTGATTTTAAAATAGGAATGTTCAGAGATAAAAAAAGCGTGTGCAAATTCAATTTTCTTACTCAAAACCGTGATTATTTAATAATAAAGCGATATAAATAGATTTGTCTTGAAGATTAGAATATTTCTAAAAAGTTGTCAAAGAGGCTTTTCGTGTGGAAGTAATTATGCTTGGAGTTGAAGTGACTGAACCTAACATTTTTAATTATCTTCGCGGCCCCTATTGAACGAGTTAAAGTTGTTTAAAGAGCGTAAGCTGATTTGTCTTGGAAATTAGGAAGCTTCGAAAGCCGGGACGGAAGATTCCGAAGCGTTAATTGTTCAGGCTTGACGCGAGGAAAGCGTAGGAGCTTGCTATCTTTTAATTATCTTTATAATCGCCGGAATTTAATATTTAGCTAGTTAAAATTCTGTACGATGAAGAAAAGTTAAGAGGATTTATGGATTATCCTTCGAATAAGATAAGGCAAACTAATTTTTTCGCGTTTCCACGGATCTTCCAGTAGCCGATGTAGATCAAGGGAAGTGCAGGAGTATCTTCGCTCTTCGCTCTCGTTGGCTACTTCGTTCGCGCGTGAAAGGAATAACGGAAGCCTTCGTTTTTCATTTTATTTATTTCTGAAGTTAGTAAACGTTGCTTACAGCGTGTCAACAGGATTTTTATCAATGATTTCAACAAGGTCGCATTCATCCTAGCGCAGAGATCTCCGAATGAATCCGGAGTTAAAAGCTCGCGGTTCTAACGGAACCGATCGACCATAGAAAATGTAGCCTGGCGAAAAACTCAGCCGTAATAAGGCCACCACTGATATCCTCGTGGCGAGGTGACTTGCACATTTCAGAAAACTATTAGTCGGAACATACTTTCTACATTACGATTCTCTCTGATTCGCTCTGGATAACCCACTTCATCTCAAGTCATGCTTCCTCCTTCGTTGCGCGGATGAGTAACGTGAAGCGGGATGTATTTAAAGATTTCAAAGCAAAAGGAAAACTTCAATGGTTACGTCAATGTCCGACGAGAACCTCGGCCTTTCTAATTCACCAATAAACAATTAGTATACGTACACGCAAGCAGTGCTGTCGGATCTCCTTCAAAATCCAGTGGATCTTCTGGTTCGAAGCCCACGTTCTCCGAGCCCGCGACAGCTTGAGATCGTCGCCGACTCGTGGACACGTTTCGTCATTTATTCACGGAATACAGATTCGAATTCTTCGGCGTGCTGCGTATAGATAAATGTTAAACGTTCGTTCAACGAAGAGTCATTCACCGTGACGAATGAAACGCGGGAGGATCGTGAAATAGGAACGCTCGGGAATCATTCTACGGTCCCTAGTATCACAATCCAGTAATTCACAGTCACATTCCGCCGGCCACACCTTGGAAAGCTCACGAGGAACAGGAACCTCTTACGGTGTGTAATGTAATATTTACATTTCAATTACGCTAATACCGTCCCAGGGACGACAGAAATCGAATATCGCAATCAGTTAATTAAATCGACGGGGAATCGCCGGCTACCCGATCCCTATCAATCGAGGACCAAGGTAACGTCAACGATCCGCCATTTCCCCGGCATTCGACGACATTTCGTCCAGTTGGCGATCGACGATATGCAAATCGCACCTGGAACAAACGAGAATCTGTTAAAACGCGATCCAACGTCCCGCGAAATGTAACAAATGTAGACGAAATTCGTATCTTCGAATCTTAGGAATTTCTCGATCCGCGGAGCATGATTTTGCAAACAATACCTTACGAACTTGGAACTCGACGAGTAAAGAGGTATTATTAGACCACTATACCATATTATACCATATCACATGTTTCACATATTCTTCTCTAATCATCGGTTCTCCGTGCAACAATCGACGAATCCTGCGCAATGAGTGAATTCTGCGCAGCCTTCGTACGACGTTCACACTGATGAAATGAAATGAAAAATAAAATGGCAATAGGTAAATACACATCGAAATAGCATCTGAAGTGAAAGACACGTTTCGTCCACATTTTCGAGCAAATTGATCGTCGCGCGACCGTAATTGCGCAACGCGGGCGCTTCGTTACCTCATTTTCATTTTCGTCGATCCATCGGCGATAAACAAACAAACAATTCGTGTTTCGGCGGATCTGTGCACCGGCTGCGTTACGCGAGGATCCTGATCGGGGAATAAAAGAATCGTTACAGCGTCTATGCCCGTGGCTCGCGTCCAACAAACGGAAGTTCCTAAGCGGTGCGGCTGTGTCATAACATTTAATACAAAGTCGGAGAGAGAGTGGTCGGGGCGGGTTCCCACGTGCGCTAGAGATCCGTTCGATTTTTATATAGACCGTCCGTCCGATTGTGTAATAATCTCCGCTGCTCCGCATTCTTACGATTGACGTAGGCAGACGGTCTCCTCCTCGATGTCTGCGACATTTGTTTCGAGAGCCGTGTATTTCTCGTAATGATTCATTAGACGGAAGTACTTTCGGCGTCGTCCGATTCATCTAAATAATTGTGAACCGTTCTATTTTCGAAGACGGTTCTTTCAGGGATCTTCTACGGCGACGACGAATCCGGGTTCTTTCCCATTGGCAAATATCTCGTGAACTGGCTCTCAACGAAGACTCTCGTACGCACTCAGCGTTCCTTTCATTCAGTAATCGCGATAGTATTGCTACGAGGCACCGTTCGCACTACTCATTTCCGTAGGACTTGGTACACCTGTCGTCAAATTTGCTTCCCATCGCGGGATCCTATTTACGTCTTTATTCTCCATTGGAGATTATGTCCAGAATCCGGTGTGTCTCATATAAACGTGGCGTCTCCGTCGCGATCCTAATTTCTGAACATCGAATGAAGAATCGTCCTCACAGTTCAAGCCGATTCCGCGTGATCGATTCTCGAAGATAAGATTCTTTTCTACAGCGTCAAATAAATTCTATTCCGTTTATTTTCCATCGGTAATTGACTGTCAATGAAAATCCTCGTACGCGTTCAAAGTCCCCCTTACTTTCATTCAGGAATCGTGGTGTATTGCTACAAGGTACCGTTTGTACTATTAATCATCGTAAAACATCGTATACCAGTTATGAAATCTGCCACCATGGCGGAAAGTACTATTTACATCTTTACTCTAAGACCTGCTCTTAAGGTATCCAAAACCCTATTTATCGAGCTTCGTTCTTCGTTCCAATCAAGCACCCAATATAGCCACCTTGACCAGACCGTAATCTTGATATCGAGTGTTAGAACACTACACGTTTTTCTTGGAGTTTAAAACATACTCGCAATCAAGATCTCTAATCCCTATTCATCGTACTTCGTCGTTTATTTCGATCGAGCACCGAATCAAGTCAGCTTGCTCGTTGTGTAATCTTAATTTCAGATGCTTCAACTCCATTCATTGTTCTTGGAGTTCAAGACATACACTTGTTCTCAAGATCCCGAATCCCTATTCATCGTATTTCGTTCTTTATTCGTCTCAAGCAATCAAACAAGTCACCTCGATCAAGCTGTAATCCCGGTTTCAAGTGCTTTAACTCTGCCCGATGTTCCCGGAGTTCAGGACATGCTAGCCCTGAAGATCTTGAACAGCTATCGCAGATTCCGTTCCCAAACTTCGTTCGATTTCGGCCAATGAAACAGCAGCGCCCTAATCACGCCAGAATCCGTAATATCGCCCCAAGAACATGAATGACATCTCCATCGTAATCCCGAATTCGAGGATCGCAATCGGCGAAGCATCGTCGCAATCATCCCCAAAACCCAAGCAAATTCCTCGAAGGTCCGAGCCGTGATCCATCATCAAAGCGAGATCGAGCGGTGATCAATTGCTGACGGATCTGCTGGCGCTCTCGAGGGATCCCCTGCGCGCGTTCTCGGTCCTCAGGATGACACCCTGAGCGATGCCGTAGTGCTCGTAGGGGTCCTTGCGGTAGGCGACCGGTTCCTCGGCCCGATGCCCGTTGTTCCTGGGCCTCGGCGGCGTGGAGGTTCTCGCGGGGGTGTTAGTGGGACTGTTCTTCGGGGTCAAGATCCTCGCGGGCGTGGAGGTCGGGCTGTTCTTGGGCGTCGCGGCCGGATTCGCGGCCGAACCGGTCTTCGGATTAGCGGAGTCGGCCGGCGCGGAGTTCATCCCTTGCAACGCGTTGAAGCTCTGCATGACGAGATGAGAGGCGACCGACATCGTCAGCGGATTTGCGGGGAGAACCGGCCCGGCCGCGGATTTCTCGTTTCGGGCTACCGGCGGAGCGTTACTCAATTGATTCTCCACTCGAGTCGCCGCCGCCACCGCCGCCGCCGCCGCCGGCATTACCGCGGATTGATTTTCTACTCGAGACATTGATTGGGCCGCGGATCGATTCGACCTCTCGCCCCGAGCCATCGCCAGCGAAGTCGACGATTGGCCGACGTCCGCCTGAGTCGGTGCCATTGCCAGCGGCGCCGGTGACCTCTCCGTTTCGCGGGCCACCGATCTCTCTGTCTGCGGGCCGGCCATCGAGGTGGCCAGCGCCGTGATCGACTGGCTCCTCTTCGTCGTCGAGTCGACGACGTTGCTTCCGTTCAGGACCGGCGAAGTCGGGGCCGGAAACGGGGCTGTGTGCGAGCGATGCTTCCTGCTCGGGATCTGCGGACTGCCGGGCAGGCCGCGATCGACCAGCGAGCCGTTTCGATCCATCGTCGACGCGTCCTCCGGGCTGATCGAGTTGAAGACGCCGGTGCTGGTCGCTGGCATGAAACCGTCCTGGGAAGCGTTGACGTTGTTCGGCCGGGATTTATTGAGCTGACCGTTTGCGCCGTTGATCGAATCGGTCTCTTCGGTCGCGCTGCTCAATTTCTGAGGCAGAGCGGTACCGTTAGTCCCGTTCTTCAGGATCGCCAGGCTAGGGTCGCCGTTCGGGAAGCTGGCGAACCGCGCGATCGTCTCGCGTTCCTCGGCCACTTGCGGCGCGAATGGAATCTTCCTCTCGGTAGGCTTAATGAGCTGCCGCTTCCTCGGCGAGGACGTGTTTGCTCGGTGCTTCTGTCTGCCGGCGTCGCTGGTCTTGACCCGCGTCTCCGGGAAGTGTCTGCCTTTCATCGAGCTCGGCTCTTCCTCCTCCTCGTACAACCGGATGTCCTCGTTCGCGTCCGAGTCATCCTCCTCGCACTCCTCGATGATCGCGCTAGCCTGGATCCACTCCCTGATCCGGTCCTTCTTCTTCGAACGGTCCACCGTCGTCTCCACGCCGTACGTGGTCAGGGTGTGCAGAAGCTGGTTCTTCTCCTCCAGCGAGCTGTGGAAGCTGTACATCGAGGGGCACAGCTCGTCCCTCTCGTCCGCGCCACCTGTGCAAACCCGGTGACGATTAAGTAGGTGCCGGGGCAGGCAGGACATCCGTTCACTGTTTAATACTGAATCTGACCGAGCGCTAAAAGTACTGCGATTTCTCCCTAATTCTTGGATTGCGCACAAAAATAGACAATCTGAGAAGAGGAGATACGATCATTCGAGCCTTGTGTCTCGATTCTATAGTTGTGGACAATTGCTAACTATAAATACGAGCTGCAAGGCTCGAATAATCGTATCTCCTCTTCCCAAATTGTCCATTTTTGTGCGCAATCTGAGCGCGAATTAGGGAGAAATTACTGTAATTAGTATGCTCTGTCTTTTATAATGGTTACGAGATAGAATTTACTTAGATTTCTTGCCATTTTTGTTTCAATATGTGTCCGAATGAATAAATTGATTTAATGATCTCCAGTGAAAATGTCTTTCTAATTTCGACAATCGTAAAACAATTGTTGAACCGGTCGTTTCACCAGCGATGGCATGGATAGTTTAACACTAAACTTATCGAGCACTAATAGCGACAGGTGTGCATTGTCTCATAGAAGTNTCCACCGTCGTCTCCACGCCGTACGTGGTCAGGGTGTGCAGAAGCTGGTTCTTCTCCTCCAGCGAGCTGTGGAAGCTGTACATCGAGGGGCACAGCTCGTCCCTCTCGTCCGCGCCACCTGTGCAAACCCGGTGACGATTAAGTAGGTGCCGGGGCAGGCAGGACATCCGTTCACTGTTTAATACTGAATCTGACCGAGCGCTAAAAGTACTGCGATTTCTCCCTAATTCTTGGATTGCGCACAAAAATAGACAATCTGAGAAGAGGAGATACGATCATTCGAGCCTTGTGTCTCGATTCTATAGTTGTGGACAATTGCTAACTATAAATACGAGCTGCAAGGCTCGAATAATCGTATCTCCTCTTCCCAAATTGTCCATTTTTGTGCGCAATCTGAGCGCGAATTAGGGAGAAATTACTGTAATTAGTATGCTCTGTCTTTTATAATGGTTACGAGATAGAATTTACTTAGATTTCTTGCCATTTTTGTTTCAATATGTGTCCGAATGAATAAATTGATTTAATGATCTCCAGTGAAAATGTCTTTCTAATTTCGACAATCGTAAAACAATTGTTGAACCGGTCGTTTCACCAGCGATGGCATGGATAGTTTAACACTAAACTTATCGAGCACTAATAGCGACAGGTGTGCATTGTCTCATAGAAGTGAATTCGGTCAGACTTTGTAAAGTTTTTCATATAAAATTTGCTCCAGTCGTGTAATTTATTCAAATATATCCCATTAAAGGGTCTCCAAAGTTTGTCGAATTGTAAAGTAAGAAATAGGTCGTTTCTACCGTGGCATGTTTAGTATTAATTTCAAAAGATCGTTACCGTTCATCGCCTTCTCCACACCCAGCTTCGCCAGCCAACGGTCCTCCACGTATTTGTTCACCTCCAAGACGCTCGCGGGCCTCTTCTCAGCCTTCGGGTCCAACAGGCGTTTGAATAGTCTGGAAAAGGAAGGGGACATCGTTACGATGGTGGACGTTCTTACGGCGCCCAGAAGTCGGTGGGAAAATTGAAATCTTCGAGGTGCATCGTCTGTCTATTCCGAGTTTTCGTAAAGTTCGGTCGAAATGCTGCGCGAAGTTAAATATAATTTCGTGAAAATATAAATAAAATCAAAATAAATAAAAAAATAAAAAATAAAAATAAATATAATAAAATTGAATATGAGAATGTGTTTATGATAACTAGATTACAGATCTTTAGGCAAAATAAAAATGTTTTAAGTAAGCTGTATGAAATGTAAATTACATAGAAGTGCATTTCTCTTGTTCTAATAAATTCGAATAAATTTCTAATAAAACATAATAATAATAAAATAATAAAATAATAAAATAATAAAATAATAAAATAATAAAAATAAATTTCTAATAGTTTCTAATGAATTCTAATAAATTGAGAATAATTCTTGAATTTTTCAAATATCTATTAGTTTGATACCTTTTCCAGTTGATTTTATTATAAATGCATAAAAAATCCGCAGTCTAACGATAACAATCAATCGAACATAAAACCGCGAAATCATTTAAAGAATTTGAGGAAGTTGTCATTTTGAATTTCTGGTAAAACGTTTTTTCACAAATTATAGTACTATAGTATATACTATTTCTCACACACACATAAACGATTACTAACTACAGAATCCTCAACGAACCTAGACTCTAAATTCAATCGCTGAGTACTAATTAGACAACAATTATCGAATGCTGAGATGAATTTATCGAGTGAAAACCATATGTCTGTGTACAGAAAAATCAATCATCCACCGATTTACGACATTTCCTGTACTTGTTAGAGCAACCTGACGCGAAGCGACGCGTCGAACTCGTTTAATGATAGTGTCTCCTTCTGGGACAATAAACTATTCAACGCGTGCTGCCGCATCTGCGGCCGTCATCGTGCTTATTTCGAAAATAAACCGAGGCTAAAAGCATCCCTCCAGATTCCGGTTTATGTGTCCCCCAGGCAATTTAGTCGCATGATTATTTTCACGATGTAAATCAAACCTCGAAGGTTCATATTTTTATTAAGTCCTCGCGGATAGCGACGAGGACGAGTACAATTTGCACTCGCGTGCATCGATCGATTTCGTTTCTACGATTCGTTTCGACGGGTTCGATCACTACATACTCGGTGAATGGTTGATTCCATGAGCTTATGAAGTACTCGGTGTATCATTCAACTGTTCTCGAAACTTTTAATGGCTACATTCGAGCGCTCTCGCAAGTACACCGCGGATTTTATTCGTTTATAACAACGCGCGTGTAAAATAGTGAACAATAAAACGTGATGGGTTCTCTGCATCGACTAATATTTCCATCCATTGGAGGCTGTACAATTTTTCTGCTCGCAAATTGTCTCGAAAAATTCGCCGGTTTTCCGTTGTAAACACTCTTCAAAGTTTCCTTCTGCGCTATAATTGGACGCCTCGGTTTCAAATTGGAAATTACGAATGAAAGCGCGAAGCAAAAATTGCTGAATCGTTTCCACGACTATTTTTAAGAAACGTCCGCGAGTCGATTTCAAAGCAGACGATTCAAACGCGTTTCGTCAGATTCCCCCCCCCCTTTTTTTAAACGCGTGAACACTGCTAGAAATTAATTAGACCGTCTGGTCGCCTCATTTCGTAATTTCCATGAACACGACGCGACGGTCCGGTTTCCAGATAAGATAGCAGATATTAATGTATCGTGAACGCTGGCGCCTGGTGCTTGTCACACATTCGAAGAAACTGACCTCTGCGCCCGCGAGCTGATCAGCTGAAATAATTTCGGTTTCTTGGCTATGTTGAGCGTCGCGTTGTGCCAGTTTTGATATCTGGTGTACCGCGGGTCGTCCAACGCCGCCTTCTGCCACGGCAGGCATCCGGTCAGACAGACAAATAGGACAATGCCGAATTGCCAGACATCGTGCGACGTGAGGGCTCTGAAACCGTGAAACGTAATATACTGTACAAGTGTCGTCCGAGCTAATGTCATTCACGTTTTCGCCTCGCATGATTCTTATAACTCGCGCGGCCGGCTTGTCCGAGCTCCATTCAGAGAATCGTCGACGGATGCTGCAACGATTGAATCAAAACACTTTTTTTGCAGTTCCAAACGAGAAACTCGAAACCTCGACAATCGTATCTTGTGCTTGCAAGAAGTGCAACAATTATCACGTAATATCGTTTCGATTATTCGTCTGAACATGCAGAAACGTTTCTGTGCTAGCTGCGAGATTCACTTTAAAGGTGAGACTTTGAATCGGCAAATGAAATTTCGCTTTAGAAACATGTACGAAATGACAAAGGATTATTTAAACATTTAAATAATCGCATCAACCGCTTGTCGTAACATTTTCTTCATAGTTTAGAGCTGTTCTTATTGTAATAATTTCATGGAAGGAAAAGAAAAATTGGATTTACTGTTTGCTTGCGTTTACTCGAATGCTTAAATATTGATAACAAAAGTACAGACTTTTATTCCGACTAACGGCAAGGGTTAAAGAATTATTAGTTCAAATATGTATTGTGATGTGGAAATCCGAAGTCAAATAATTACATCGAGCATCGCCAGAAAATCTATTAAAAGTTCTTGTTCTTTAGATAATTAGAGGAGAGCATGATGCAAGTAAAATTGTATCTTGTAGTCATGTGTCGAGAGGTTCTTTCGAGTAGATGACCCCAATAACGGAGAACGCTGGTAATTTATGAACATCAGCGCAAGTACACGCAGCATAAATCCCAGCAGAGAAGCTAACCGTCTCATAAGCAGTGCGCGACTGCAAATGTCTTATGAGGGTCTGCATAACTCCATAATTCGGGTGCAAGTGCTCAACTATTAAATCCACCCCTAAAGTGGTCTCGCATATTACGGGATGTGTCCTTTGTGCCCTGAAATACGATTCTCCGAGCTCCAACTAAACTTTAATTACTGGTGTACATTAGTCTTGCGTAAGCGGAACTGATCAGCTGCTTCTGGGACCGTAACGCACTGGAAATGGACGACTAATTACACGTCTAATTAGTCGGTTCCCTAAGAAAGACATTAGGTTGTCCCATAAATAAATGGACGCGCACTTGATATCGATGATTAATACGTTAAGTCTAATCAAAGACATTTAATTAATGAAACTGGAACGTTAACATTTTCCATAGAAAATGTTAGCTTAACTCTTTTGTTTATACTACAATAAAAATGAATTTCAATTATTGCTTCGTAATTTGATGAAGTTTCACGTTTGTTTGGTTAAGAAATTATCTATTGGTTAACAAATAAGCAATAATTTGATAATCTCCGAAAGTCTACAATTTACAATTAAAAAAGTCTTAATAAATCATTTAGCGGGATTGTTCCAATCCTATCAACAATTAATACCCGGTAACGTTATCTAATAATTTCATTTGGAATTATCACGTGCAAAATATGATTGTTTAGATTTCTCTTATTCTAGTACGATAAATCAAAATTCTGTCGATATTCTTGTTGTAATTATGCTACGTTTAGGAAATCTATTTCGAATTATCATTGCGTGCAACGATATTTTGGGACAACCGGTAATTTATTGAATCAAGATCGATGCGTTGTAATCCGACGAATATTATCGAACAGTTACAAAAGGGCGGGGCAATTACTGGTAATGGTCAATCGTATAATTACTTGTACGTCTCGTCAGTGTCGATCTGCAATACCTCGGGCGGCGAGTATGGCAGCCACTCGTTGTGTCGTCGCACCACGGTGTTCATACGCCTGGTCTCGCCGAAGTCGCAGAGCTTGATCCGCGAAAAGTCGCTGCGGAACACGAGCACGTTGTCCAGCTTGATGTCACGGTGCACCAATTCGCGGCTGTGAATGTGATGCACCGCCGCGGCCAACTGTCTAGCCACCCTCTTCGCGTGCAGCTCCCCTAAGCCCGTTTCTGTCACGTTGGACGTTAGATCTCCTGAAAAATGGAGGACCACGAGCAGTATTAATGATTCTCTCGTCTCTGCACGTTGAATCTCTGTCCGGGGAAAAAGTGGGCTCTAATTAATTACTTAACGCTGGCCTGTCGCTGTTTTACTTGATGGATTAACCCCTTGCCTCGCAACGATGTCTCGGAGACGACAAGCTTGACCAATTTGTGGTTAACACAACTATCTTACATTGGGTTCGAAGCGAAACAAATTATGTTATTTCGCTCAATTTCGATTAACGCTCGTGCAAGCACAAGCACCGTTCACGTATTTAATTAATTTGTCGACAGGATTGAGATATTCATTCGCAGGTGGATTATTAATAATTTTAGAGTGCCCGATTTCTAGCGTATTCTCGCGGATGCGAGGTATTTACATGTACAATTAACTTCTTCGCCGAGCCATTAATCACTCGAGCGGTACGTATAAAAAGATTAATGGCGAACTAATTGCACGCTGCCGTACGTAGGGGGTCCTTCCTAGTTTCTCGTTCTTCTGATCGACAGAAAAGTTACATCCACTCTCCACTTCGCGAAGAGATGCGAAGATAGCGAACGCCAATCACTCTGTCGCGTGATCTGGTTCGTTGACATTGAGATTTCGCTCGATAATAAAAAATCTGCTTAACTAGAAGACCGATCATCGTTCTCGCGTTCCTTCGACTAGTTATCTTCTCGTCTCTGGAAGAACTGAACCTTGCTATATCGACGGTGTCAGACTTTTTCACTCGAACTCGCCAAAGAATTAATTAAACCGTATTTCGGGTCTAGGATAGTTAGTTTGGTTCGGGTTTGTCGAAAGAGATTAGGTATAAAACCTTTTCTTGTCTCTCGTCTGCACTGTTAACGTATATAAAGTTATTGGAATTTATGAGTACAATGGCAGGTACGTTCGAAAATGTACGAATTTCTTCAGATAAACTGGAATCTCTGATGGTACTTCAGGGTTTAATGCAAGACATCTGCAACCGTGAAGATCTTTAACATTAAACGTACCATTAATTTTCAACAATTATTGAAATTACGAAGGTACTTACATCGGAAATCATTAAAGAAATTTCATCGTTCGGACGCATAGTGATCGTAATAACTAATATAAAAAAATTGTGAAGTTACTATAAACTAACTTAACCCTAAATTATCTGAACAATAAATTTGATCAATAAGCAATACACATGTTAGTTTACAATAACACTCTTTGTTTCTCACAGTGACAAAAATGTGACTGACGCCACTGTGATCCTAATCCACTCGGTTGAACTCTACGCGCTAATTAAATGATATCGACAACTTCGGAGTGACGACAACGATTTCGTCGCCTGTACATTTAATTAAAAGATAGGGTTAGACACTCGCATGTTAACGGTCGGGGCCGACGATCAATTACGACACAAGATACAGTAATGTCTCCGTAACTGACGCTCAGATTGTCCACAAAAATGGACAATTTGGGAAGAGAAGGCTCATTTTTATAATTGTTGACAATTCGTAACTATAAAAACAAACCGCAAAGCTCGAATAATAGTATCTCCGCTTTCCAAATTGTCCAATTTTGTGGACAATCTGAGCGTCAATTAGAGGGACATTACTGTAAGCGTTAAAGAAAGCGCCGAAAGTGCGAACAGATCTCGTTCTCACCGAGCGGAGCGTACTCCTGGCTGAACACGTAAAATCCGGCGGTCTCGAAGGCGACGTCGTAGGTGGTGATGATGTTTCNATATAAAGTTATTGGAATTTATGAGTACAATGGCAGGTACGTTCGAAAATGTACGAATTTCTTCAGATAAACTGGAATCTCTGATGGTACTTCAGGGTTTAATGCAAGACATCTGCAACCGTGAAGATCTTTAACATTAAACGTACCATTAATTTTCAACAATTATTGAAATTACGAAGGTACTTACATCGGAAATCATTAAAGAAATTTCATCGTTCGGACGCATAGTGATCGTAATAACTAATATAAAAAAATTGTGAAGTTACTATAAACTAACTTAACCCTAAATTATCTGAACAATAAATTTGATCAATAAGCAATACACATGTTAGTTTACAATAACACTCTTTGTTTCTCACAGTGACAAAAATGTGACTGACGCCACTGTGATCCTAATCCACTCGGTTGAACTCTACGCGCTAATTAAATGATATCGACAACTTCGGAGTGACGACAACGATTTCGTCGCCTGTACATTTAATTAAAAGATAGGGTTAGACACTCGCATGTTAACGGTCGGGGCCGACGATCAATTACGACACAAGATACAGTAATGTCTCCGTAACTGACGCTCAGATTGTCCACAAAAATGGACAATTTGGGAAGAGAAGGCTCATTTTTATAATTGTTGACAATTCGTAACTATAAAAACAAACCGCAAAGCTCGAATAATAGTATCTCCGCTTTCCAAATTGTCCAATTTTGTGGACAATCTGAGCGTCAATTAGAGGGACATTACTGTAAGCGTTAAAGAAAGCGCCGAAAGTGCGAACAGATCTCGTTCTCACCGAGCGGAGCGTACTCCTGGCTGAACACGTAAAATCCGGCGGTCTCGAAGGCGACGTCGTAGGTGGTGATGATGTTTCTGTGAGCCGCCAGGTGCAGCCCGTAATGGAACTCGCGAAAGAAGTCCGAGATACCGGTGTACGCCTTCGGCAGGGCCTTCAGCACCATCTCGGTCTGGGTGCTGCGGTGCTCGGTCAGCAGGATCTTGCCGAACCATCCTTCGCCGACGATTTGCAGGATATCGAACTCGTCGATCAGATTCACCTGTTCGGCAGAAGAAAGTGCGGCTCAGCTGGTGCTTGGGATCGCGGACCGATCGAGGGGAACGTGCGGCCGAGTCCCACGGAACAGCTGCAACTTCCCCCGAATCGATTCAGATTGCGAGGGGTGCGGAGAACGGCGAAAAGCCGGAGGAGAGCAGAGGAGAACGTCGAGAGTGGACTATGTCCGTCGCGACCATCTATTTTTAATTCCACTCACGACGGCCGCGGCGTTCCGTCGCGTCGCATCGTGTCGCGTCGCGTCGCGGCGCGCCGCGTCGGGCACGCTTCGATACGCGACGCGACGAAAGATCGACGGATAACCCGTGCCCGAAGATGATTTATTCGGGAGGGTGGCCCTTCGAAATACCAACTGCCGGGGATCATTCGATCGGCGTCGTTCATTACTGCGGGCGTCGCTTCGAATCAACGTTGATGAACGCAGTAAATGAGCGTTGCCTCCACTGCATTCCCAATCAGTGCCACGATTTTACGAAATTAATTTCTGCCGAGTTTTAGACCACGTATTTACAGCGAACTCGAACGCATTTCGTCTCGTGTTACATTTTTTAAACGTTCGCTCTTGCTGTTTTTATCGACCGTCTTCCAGAACAGACTTTTTCTTTTAGTACTCCTTTTCTTCGGTGAAGTATAATACGCTGCTTCGGATACTTTGCTTAAGATACCAGAACTTTATTGGATCATAATTTGATCTTAGTAACGTACTCTGCACTGCTACCGTAAAGATTACGGTATTATAAGTCATTGGATAAACTTCGACGTCGCGCAATGTGATAAAGATATTATAGATTTTCCGCTTAAATGAAAATCATGAAAAGTATGACTTTGAGAAATATGTTCGATTTATCGCGACATTTGCCACTTCGAAACCGAACAATGTTTGACATTTCTTCATCGAAACAGATAAAATTATCAAAGTGATCAAATTATATGGTTCACCCATGATTTTATTAATACAAAGAGATTTAATTTAGCATTTCATTGTTTGGGTAATTTAATTTCAGTCGCCATTGGATATTTCTATATTTCTAGCTATGCCTAAAATCGAAACGTGATGTTAGTCTGTATGCATAATATTTTGTCATTTTCTGTGACTTTATAATATACAATAACGGGTCTAACGGGTTAATAAATCTCCTGTGAGGTTTCAATTGTTAAAATAATCTGAATCGTAAGATGACGTTGTAGACCGAAAACGTTATCGGATGCCCTTTCGATACGCGGATTCGATGAATAAATGAACGTGACGAGCGACAACGTTCCAATTCGTACCCGGAACGCTCGAGGTGGAACGGTTTGAGAAACTGTGGGGCGCGCGGTTAGGCTCGCGGGACGCGACGGGATTGCGAATTGTCGACAGTTGCCTAGAACTTCGGTATAGTTCGCCAGGGAAGTTTGGACTCGAAGCGTTTTGTCTTACGGACTCTTCTGGTGTATATTCTGTCGAGTAACTGAAGTTGACTGAACTTCGCGGAAGTTTGATGTAATACTTGCACCTTTCGCCGGCGAACCAGTCGGGCAAGCGGCAGTGAGCTCTTGCTTATGGCATCGAGTTGCGACAAAATAATTGGTCCTCCTAGTCAGAGTGGTTTCCAATCGGACCACGGATTTTATGCTTTCGTCGCAGGAGTAGATGCGAATGCGAACAGTGAGATCATTCGAAGAATTTAAAAAAACGTCGACGCGTGTGTAGTTACGTCAATGCGCACAATTTTTATTTTCAAAATCTATTTTCAATATTCTAATTCTCATTGTTCGTCGATTTCTATGGATTACAACGATACACGATACATGACGATATTTAACCCTTTGCACTCGAAGTTTTTTTTGAGTCATATTACCAGCAACTCGAAGCCATTTTAGTGAAAAGATCATATTCACATGTAAGTTCATGATATAAGCAATAAAAGAAAAGTCATCGTTGTATGTTATTATTTTTTTAATTGTTTATGGATACAAACGTCATTTGTCACCAACAGCGAAACATCCTATAACTAATTTTTACGATTTGTTTTTGTTCTTATGTTAAAAACTGAAAATTATTTGCATTGTCTCCGTAGCGGAGCCCTCGAGTTTGAAGACAAATTTTAAATGGCTCCGCTCCGGAGCCCTCGAGTGCAAAGGGTTAATTTGATATTGTATTTCAGTTTCATATCGCAGATATTTGCTGTTGGTTCAAGCTAGTTGATCGGTTTTGCATTTACTCGAAATGTTTGTTCGATTATTCAGGATTGTTGGATCGCGTGCAAGAATAATACCCGCACATGCCTGCTAATAGGCACGCTGCAGATCAATCAGAGCATTGTGAGGCATCATAGTTCGCGCCGGCGTTACGACGTAGACTAAACAACTTGTCTTTTTTTTTGCAGAAATGTACGGGATTTGTTTCCCTGAATTAAAAGTAGACGAAAACTGAATGGAACTAAAAAATATTATCTTCGAGCATATTATCTTTGTAGAGCTCTAAATTACGAACCTCGCGATCTGTGAAAATTCATCGAAAGTGTTTCGAATGCGAAAAGAAGTCTTATAGTTTCGGTTTATTTTACTGCGTGTGTATTTGCTTTCAAAGCGGTTCTCGATCAAAACACGAAAACTAGATAGAGCCAAACGAACCTATAATTTCAAATGTAATCCCGCGTCGTAAATTACTTAAAGACTTGTAAACATCGAACGCTCGGGTTCGGACAGGCAAAGCCTTGCGCAGCAAAACAACTAAATCCGAATAACCGTCTGTGACCGAGAGAGCCCGAAACGTCCCCGCTATTTCCTCCCCTCATAAATCACTCCGTGCGTCAAACTAATGTATATCGGTAAGTAGCAATAGCCCTCGAAGATTCGTCCAAGTGCCTCGGTCTCTCGAAGGTTTCGGCGCAGCTGGCGTCGCCGGTGGCATAATGTCACGGATCGAAGGCAGAAAATAGGCGCGGAAGGGTTAGCGCGGCCGAGGTGCGCGCGTTGTCCCCGATTTTCCAGAGACTTTCGAAACCCCCTCGAGAAGAGGATTTACAGCCTGTCCTTTGGAACAATGGGAACACGCTCCGGCCAGAGATTGCTTTATTACACGCTCGGCCGCGAACTGGCTCCTCGTATAACTTCGCCGAAGTGTTAAAGGTTACAATCGCATCGCGCATTGTCATAAAGTGGGCATCGGGCGAAAGTTGGTTTACTGCCAGAGAGGAGGAGGATTGCCGGTCGCGCTCTCAGTCCCGATGTAAATGTTTCACGTACGATCACTATTTCGGGATCCTGACGAGCAGAGGCTGGAATCGTTGTCCCGTCGCGCCGCTCCGTTATCCGTCTCTGCCGGTTGATAATTCAAGGATTTACGCGATCGATGCAACGACCAATCGTCGATCGAACGATCCGGTCGCTCGTTTCGAAAGCCTTTCGCCCGTTGATTCATCGAGCGCAGGAAAAATCGAGGCCGTGCGCGCGAAGGACCGCCTTTGTCGAGACAATGCTCTTGTTTGCCGGAGCATAAAGCCTCGAGGAAAATGTCGGATATTTATTTCGGGACCCGGTGGAATTTACGCGTTAACGATGACAGATCGTTTAAGGACAGCTCCGATGAAAGCGCCTATAAAATGGCAGAACGGTGTCTATAATCGTTCGTGTTACGGCGAGGAAGTTTTATCGGATTTATTCGATCAGGTCAATCGAAAGAATTGTGTTAGGGGGTGGCTAACGGACGGCGATGAAATGGCGGTCGTGTGGCGAAGACACGACTCGGAATTGAGTTACCTTCTCCAGCTCGAACTCTCGTATCCTGTGAATGGAGCCGCCGATGGCTTTCTTCATTAAGCTCATTCTGACGGCCGGTCGTCGATCCTGCGCCACGGGCTCGAATGGAAGCCAAAAGTCGGGATGGCGTTTAACAATCCGTTGTGGTTGACGCTGAGACCGCGAGGCTCACATTCTGTCATTTCGCGGTGGACGCTCTGTCGAACTCTGCCCTGGAACAGATTGAAAGTGACTCTGTTACATTGATCTGTCCGTTCCATTACCGGAAAAGAACGGTCCTTTCCAGCTACGCTGCTCCACATTTCCGGGACCACGCTCGGAACGAGACAAACACAGACCCTTCCGCATTGTTATGAAACATTTGAATCTGGAACTTCTCACCAAACATTTTTACAAGTTTTCCATTCCTTTTCGAAAAACTATTAATTTCTACCCTTTTAAGTTTTCTATCGTTCCACATATTTTTATAATTTCTGTATGATTATGTATAAATTGTATTGTCATACATCGAACAGAAATGGTACCAAATACTTCCCAGATTTTATATTATTATAGATTGTGGATTTCTGTATTGTTGGATATCGAGCGAATTGAATCCGACACTTTTGTATTGTTCAAGTGCTTTATTCGCCGTTTTAATACTTCTCGGTTTGTCACAACAGTTTTGAGACAAAAGGCTGATTTCAGATCATTAGTGTGATGTCTGCAGTTCGTAGCTCAATGTACAAGGTGTCCCAAAAATGTCTCGCAATCCGGAAATGGGGGTTTCCTGAGGTCTATCGAAGCTACTCTCTCCTTAGCGAAAATGCAATCCGCGGCTTTGTTTACGAGTTATTAACGAAAACCAGTGACCAATGAGAGGCGAGCTCGGCTGGCGCGAGGCGGCCCAACCAACGAGAGCACGAAGCTCAGTGTTGCTCAGTTCCGTTCATTGGCTCGGCCGCCTCGCGCCAGCTGCTCTCATTTCTCATTGGTTATTGTCTCTTTAATAACTTGTAAACCAATCCGCGGATTGCATTTTCGCTAAGGAAAAAGTTACTTCAAATGACTCCAGGAACCTCCCATTTCTGGATTGCGAGACATTTTTGGGACACTCTGTATAGTGTTGGTATGTACTAAACAGAGAAGGGGCATGGACGACCACATCAGAGTATCTGGGGGCGGGGGAAGGCGAAAACAAATGACTCATAGTGGATAGTGAGATAGATCTTGATATCGCGGTTAGTCACCCAACGATATGCAATAAAAACTCTCTTATTTATTTACCAGGAAGGAAAGTTGATACGGCAGTGTTCTAAAATTTTTCCGATGCTTACTCGAAACATTTTGTGCCAACAGAATTTTTCTATCCTGCTCTAACATATCTTTCATGAATTTTGTCCTATTATAAATCGTATTATTACACATCGAACAGTAACAATACCGAACATTTTCCTAGATTGCTGTACACTATGGATTTTTATACGCTATAAAAACCGTCTTCGTTAGTTACAGAGCAAGAAAATCGAATAAAGATTTGCGACAGTGTTCCGAAATTTTTCCGACGTTTTTAATGTATTGCACTGTTTTCATTCATTTTCGCGACGAATGCGTAAAATCCGCAGACCAATTATATAATGCATATTTGAAGCGAACAAGATTGTCTTATGTTACGTTTTGAGATAGAATAGAATTTTCGTGAAAGTTCATACGATATAACAACATTTTAACGAAATACTTCCACTTCTAAGCTGTCGAAAATTTTAGCTTCTGTCGATTTTAAGATAGTCATGTTATGAATTAATTTCTTTGCCGAAGTACAATTCCGATTCTGAAGATTGTGCATCTGTTAAGAAGTCAACTATAACGGTTAAATTTGTTAAAATCTATTGGATTATCAATACGTCGTAATAAACTTATTGTCCGAGAGGAGAATCAAATCACACGTGAGTCAAATGTGCAAACGTTTCGTGTTCACTTCAAGGCTCAGATTGCGGGCCCTAGTCATAATAGTCCAGCGATACGAGGTGGCCCCACTTTTCTATCCAGTGTTCCAACGTTAGTCGGTGCTAAAGATTCGTCCAGTGAAAATCTTGCTCACGTCTCGTAAAACAAAGATATTTTTTTGTTTAGTAAAACTACCGCTCTACGTTTCATTTTACATTCATTTCGAATAAAATCTCGGTAAAAAAATGTGTTCTGTAATACGGATATTAACATGGGTTGTATGGTATACAATAAAATGGGCTATAAAATTAACACCACTATGGGTTCGAACGTATGAAAGACGGATATTCGATTGGATTATCCGACAAGCAATATGGATATTATATCAGCTTCTAAAATATTTATAACATTTATCATGCGAAATTCAAACTAAAATGGATTCTACGGGTACACGGTATGAATATTAAAACGGATCGCATGGTGAACAACAAGGATTAAAGAAAATGCAACGGCATAACGGATTCCAAAGCAACGCAACAGTTCTAAAACTGCCAGAGAAGTGTCCAAAGACAGAGTTTCGGTGCAAATAAACGCGCGGCACTCGTTCTCAGTTCGGTGCAGCGTCTCTGTTGCTGAGGATTTGCCAAAGCTCGCGAAACGGTGCTCTCGCGCCGACGGATTGGGGAATTTTGGACGAGCATACCGCTCGCGTCGTTTTCTAACAACAGAATCCTGTCGGGAATTAAAGCGTTTGCCAAGGCGCGGGTCGCCCGCGCGAGGGGGCGAACTTTGTCGAAAACCACTTAAACCGCGATCTCGTGCTCGCGTTTCCGCAAACCGGGGTAGAGTAAGTTTTGGATAATGCGCCCTTTGTGCCGGTCGCGGGCAGCAACAACGCGTTCCCGCGTGGTTACAAAGCTCGCGAGCACTCCCGCGAATCGTTGTTCATGGCCGGGCGAAAAATGTTCGGTGAAAATGACGTCGCCGCCGTAGAAAACCTGGCGGAAACAACCACTTCGACTCGGAGCGGATAGATACGTTCGGTGCCTGGGCGTATCGAGCTGCTGAAAAGAATCGGCCCCGACGTTTGATGTTCGGCTACTTCCGATGGAGGACGCGGTTCCGCGATGCGAAACATGGCGGCCGCATGAAACATTCATGCGGAGAGATGGGAAAAGCATCGATACGCGTTGAAGGGAAACGCGAGCGGAAAGCCTGGGGACATGAAAGAAATGCAAAGAGTGTGAAAAATTGTTCGGGAACACTCCGCGGAGATGAGTCGTCGCGCGTGTGTCCATCGAACTAAAGGATTTTAATAACAATCACGAGGAAGGAGACAGCGGAGAGCATGTTGGTTGGTTGTCCGGAACAATGCATCGGTTTCAACGGGATTCGGTTGGAAACGCGGTGGGAGAGCCGCCCCCTCGGCGATCGAAGGGTTAATGGACTTTTAGTGTACAACTTTTAATTATAGCGGATCTGGGTTACAGTGCTTCTACGGCATTCGGGAATGATGGTTGTTATTCCGGAGTACACGTGCCGCGGACGGAAATAGCGTTACAGGTTCCCGGACATAATTCGTGGTTGTGTATTATCCTACGAAATAAATGAGTGGCCTCCGTGTGTAATTCCACGTACACGGTTGTTTCTTCTCTAAACAGCTTAGCCCCCGTATTTTCGAATTGCGATAATTGTTGCGCAAGTTGGACAACGAAACGCCGCAAATCTCGGCCGGCGCGCGTGCACACACGCAGACGGACCGCTTCATTCGCCAAATTGCGGTTACTATATCGGTCTCCTTTCTCCGAGGTTCGACTTCGTACCGTCTCGACGATGGGAATTTAATAAATACCAGATTTCCCTGCGGAGAATGAAAAGAAATTCTATTTTAACCGTCGAGCTCTGTTCCAGATCCAGTTATGGAGGCCATAAATTACAGCGGAGTTGTTCGGAACAGCATCGAGGGCTGCTTCTATGAAGTTAATTAACCGGATCTGCAGAAAAAGAATAGTCGTCTCTTACCAAGGAGCACAGTGCCACGCTTGTTTTCACTTATGGAACAGTTTCAGCACGGAATCACACAAGCTGGCGCACTATCACGGCACGCATTGATCACTTTCCACGGACTTAATCGTACCGCGATTCGCTCCTCCGATTTTTTCCCGAGCACTCCACTCGCGCACTTCTCTGGCACTCCGTTCCAAGAATTCGCTCGTGCCGCAATTAATCCATCGGAAATGTCAAAGCGGTTCGGGAACGGCCGCCGCGAGTGAATCGCGAGCGGATAGGAGCGAGATGCTTCCTCGATCGGATCGAGGGATCGTTCAGCGAGCCGTAGCTGTGTCCGCCGGGATTTGTGATTTCACCGCGACTCCCGTGTTCGCTGCACTCTTCGAGTGTCTGCAGTATTTATAAAACGCCGACCGGAAAGCGCTACTGGTGAGCTGATTTTGGCGCCGAGCCGGCTTGGCCGCGCGCTGACGCCTCGACGCGGACGTCGCCGTCGCGGACGGTCCTCGCCGGGACCGTGGATCGCTAGGGGATCGCGTGTTTCGCATGTTTTCGAACGTGGATCGACGCGGACCGCCTCGTCGGGCAGCCTCGCATTTTTCCACGGATCCGCGCGGCGGACGTGGCTCGTCTCGCGCGGCCCAGGGAAATTTATACGTCTGCGTCGCCGACGCGATGAGCTTTCGGCGTGTTTTATGGGAACGATGAGTAATTCGCGAGTTATTTTCACTCGGGAAACCGGGGCTTGCGGAGATAATGGGGCCGGGACGAGTTCGCGAGGAAGAGACAAGCGAAACGAATCTCTTAATTGAACTTCTTCGCCGCTGTTTCGGCCGACAGTGATTTATTGTAATTAGCGCGATATAATATCCGATTTGCGGGCCTTGCCGCATTTATTTGGGAAAGTTAGGGTAATCAGGTCTGACGAAGAGTAATGGGAGAAGTTGGGTTCGGTACGCTGGAAAAATTTCTGCTGATTATGGTATCTTAGTCTTCCCGTCGCGGAACCGTTTCCATGGGAAATGAATCTCACAGCGTCCGATTATGCAGATATGTTTCTCTGCGAATGTCCGATGCGCGGTGTACGTAGACGATTTACACGTTCTATAGCGTGGTAATTGTGCACGCGTTTGTTGCATTTCGGGTATAGGGACTCTCAGCTCGGTGGGAGTGGTCTGACTCGCGGACACATTTGGGCGAATTGCGTGGCGTTCGTGGAATTTGACTAGCCCAATTTCGTGGAATTTATAGTCGCGCGAATCGTCATTGACTGCTAAAGTGATTATTTTTCGGAATAAACGATTCGAAACTTCTCTATGATTGTTCAGAGTCTATCGCGTCACGGTTATATCGTCATACGCATTCGATTGTCTGGTTAATTGGTAGAATATCGAATTATTCATTTGTCGGAGGGTCTCGTGTATTGGTTAAAGAATTAATCAAAGCCCGACTCGCTGTTTAAAATTCTCCCACGACTTATTCATCCGGTCCGCTACTGACCTCTGTCAGAACTTGGCAGAACTGCTTCGACGACTACGTATAGTCTGAAATACAGTCTTATCATACATGCGCACGTTGCATCATGAATAAAACCATAGCCGAGGTATAGGGATAGATTTAACATCGCGGAGAAGGTGTAGGCATAGATTTAACATGCAATCGCATGCGAAATATACGAATAAATGAAATATTTTATGGGATTTTGTGGCTTCGAATTTAACTGTCGTACCTACGGAATACTTGCCACTGATTTTAGCGCCCTCTTTTCACGGACGACGGTCAGCTGAAACACTATTCACTGAAGGAGACTGAAAAGGAAAATGAATGTAGTTTACGACAGATCGATTGCGATTTGGAAATAATTAGGAAAGCATACCAAAAATACACGTAAGAGGTACATAATAAATAGAAGAGTTTCAAAAAGATGATTTATTATGCATTCTCACTTGAATTTTTCAAAGTCAAATTCAAACTGATCGAATGTATTTAAATATAGGTAGATTATGATTTCGTCCCTGCGAAAATTTAGCCCTTTAGAAATATTTCAATCTTGGCATCATTTGTCCTCTGGATGCATATGGCATCGACAAATTTAATTCTTAAATTTATTTTTTATATCTGTCTAATATTCAAAACAATTTCTTTTGCCAGCCTTGGGTTTAAACAATTTCTATACTATCGTCTCACAGAATTTCTTAAATAAAATCGACTCATAGAAGTCAAGATATTGAGAAACCTTTAAAGAATTATTTCATCGAACTTTAATTGAAACGTAGATAGTTTCCAGCTCTTTAATATTTATAATAATTTCTTTTGCCAGCGATGCTGATAATCACTACCTTCACTACCTTGCCATCAATTTTTTTCAATATAAATAACAGATAGAACTGGTAGCACCTATTTATCGTTTAAAAGATGAAACAATGAGATGTTTCAATTATTAAACTTTTATTTCAAGGAAGAAGAGATCTTCAGAGAAGCCATTCAATGCAGTTTGCAAGATTGGTATCTGCATAGAAGTCAACTGAGGGCAACGAAAACTGAGAAGATGTTGAATCTATTTATATACCTTGTCTGTGTTATCATATCACCCAGAATTATACCAGCGGAGTACAGAATTCGCAAACTATGCAAAATTCCTTGAACCTCTGTCGATAACCCTGTGATTTTCTTCCGTCGTATTTGATGGTTCCTATTTTAACTGATTGTAAAAAACTCAACGAATATAAAATATACAGCATAACATTGTAATTGTATTAACAGTTATACTACCCATTGTTTCAGATCCAAGAGAACTCCAAGACTTGTTCTCATATAAATTTTCAAATTATGAGAATCTAGAATTCTATTCAAGCAATACATTTCTCTTTATATACCTAATATAAATCGATACAATTGTTGCATCATTTTTCGAAAAAGTACATGTAAAACAACCATGTCTGCTATCACTGTGTTTACAGAATTATTATTTCATCTTTCGCTTTTTCATTCATCTCATTATTTATTCAAATTATGTCCCCTATTCTCTTCTGTGTCTGTTTACTCATCTCTACGCTGCACCATTCCTCTTCCCCCTCTCCTCTCTTCGTACTCCACATAAAGATACCATAGTTCAAAATGACCAGAGATTTTACATGAAAATGATCAGAAATATGGAAACAGTCCACCTCACATCCTAAGCCGACACATAATTCACCCTTCAAAGCAACGTATCATAAACTCCAATAAACGCCAACTACAGATTTCCTAATAACCGTCTAAAAATATCAAGCACACATCACCGGAAAGAAATCAGCGACCGGTGCACGACGGATCGAAAGCAAACGTTTCAAATTCGAACTTCGCGCCGCCTCGTGTCGCTGGTAGTGCACGGCACGCGGTCGCAGATGGCGCCACGGTGTCGTCGTTAGCGGCGGCGCAGGTAGCTGGCAGCTCGAGTCCGTTGAGTCCGTTTCCCCAGCTTTCCCGTGTCACGGTGTCGCGAGCGCGTCTGTCGTCGACGCTCGCGGTGTCCGTCAGTTTTTATCTAATCGGCTGCGAAGAAAATACGATTCGGCAAGTGTACGAGCACCGGTCGCGAGCGATCGGTCGGTGGAGAGCGTGCGTGGTTGTGCGCGAGAATTGGAACGGTCGCCCGGGTCCGTGGAACGCGGTGGAAGAGGACAAGGCGAGACGACGACGGGGCCTAGCCGAGAGACGGTGCGATAGACGAGCTACGGGACGAGTCGAAGCGAGATAGACGACCTGGGGGTTAGAGTGCGACAAACGGGGATAGTGTTCTAGAACTAGTAAGAGAGAAACAGAGGGGAGTCGCGAAGAGAGTGAGAGGGGGGCGGAGGAACGGAACACGGCAGGAGCGAGAAGAAGCTAGAAGTGTGTCGGGGCAGTTCGTCGAGGAAGGAGCAGGGAAATCTTCCTTTTCCTCTTGCGACCGGATCGAAGGGGTCAGAGGGTCTGCGGGTGGGCGGGGTACCGAAACCAGAGGAGAGAACGCTCGTAAGAGATCCACAGCCGAAGAAGGGTGCCAAAGAGTCCCTCGGTGGAGGACGAGCACACCGTGGTCTAGGGACGGGAGTGCGAGAAAGAGACAGTGCGGTGCCGTGTAAACATACATCCCATTGCCGTGAGTGCGTGCGCGGAGAGTGGCAATCAACGACGGTCCGACGTGGTTCGTGGTCGCCGTCGGAAAGTTTGTTTGCAGCTGGCATCCGTCGTTGCCGACGGGTCCGGTGCCGTTTTCGTGCGTCGGGGACGAAACAGCACACGCCGACCAGAGAAAATCGGCCGAGCAACGGTCCCAGGTGCCGCGGCATCAATCGTCGCGGCGTTCGGGCACGCGTATGAACCTGTGTCACAAATGACAGTCGATCGGACGGGAGGGAAAGTCAGCTGCTCGCTGGATTCGTCTGTCTAGCGGGGTAACCGGTAAGTCGAATCATTTCCAATTCGATTCCAACGGTTTAGTGGACTCTCCTGTAAAAATGGCTCCTGACGTTTCTCTTCCTGTCTTCTTTGTGTATCCACTCCCACTCTGGCCGTCTCTCGCTCTTCCCTTCCCCCTCTTTCTCTTTCCCTCTCTCTCTCTTTCTCTTGCTCGCTCACCCTCCCTCTCTTGCGATGTTCCCTATCTTCTTCTCTCTCACTCGCTTTCCACCGATCTCTACTCTCCGCCTTGCGGTATTCCTGCACGTAAATCGACCGTCGGATTTTCTTGATTCTGCTGTGGTTCTTCGTTTCCTCTCTTTTTTTTCAGGTGGTCATACTGTATGCGTGTGTTCGTGCTCAAGTGTGAATGGACCACTACTGCTTCTTAAAGTTTTCTGGGCACGCTAAAACGTTTACAAGAATGCGTTACGCGATACGAGGGAGTAAATATTATCTTGCAGCGGTACTGGAGGCGGTTACTGGCGGAGTGACCAATTGCTGTGTTATTGGTTCGTGTTCGGGTATAATAAACTTTCTGCTTATCGAATAAGACCCATTCAATTTTGTCATCGAAAAATAAACAATTAAATAAGAGGTAAGCAATTGGTCACACAGATCCAGCACCACTGTGCTATTCGTTTTCGGTGCAACGTAAACTCGCTGGTTGGGAATGTTTTGTACAAGAGGTTCGGCCATTGATAGCTCCACACGCGGCACTCGATGACCCAACCTAGACAGCACAAGTGCGTATTTCACAATTTATTGTCTCCATATTTAGTTCCATTTAGAACCTGAAAATTGCCCGTTGTATCTCCTGGAACGATAGCATGAAATGTCTGCCACCTCGTACCGCATACCGCCTCTGTACAAGCGTTTTGTTCGCGGCTATAAAACTTTAAGAGGTAATGATCCGTTTATACACAAGCGTGGACACCGCGGTACGCTTGTGTTTGACGTATCCGCGAGGCTGTCGGAATTTTAGCGAGCGTCGCGCGTGCCGCTGACAGGTCTTTAACTATCGGCCGATACGTGATTCGTTTATAAACATTCCGGACCTACCCTGCGCGATTCGAGGCGGTCAGCCCGAACCAGATGACAAGATCGCGAGTCGTTCAGGGCGCAAGTTGCACAGCAAGGAAAGATATATCCTTCGTTCTTGTAAGACAGCTTCCGCCATATTTACTTCTTGCGGGTACATAACCTAACACGACCTTGGGTCGTGCTTGAGAGATAGACAAATGGACGAGCGAACTTTCCCAGGATTCGATGGTTTCCCACGATAGCTGGATTAGAATAGCCAGAAGTTGTTTGATTTATTCATTTATGCGGAATGATCCGTCGATAGAGAAGTGTTGATGAGGAGAGGCTGTCACGCGGTAGTTTTTGCCGCGTTATTAAAGTTACAAGAAAAAACGAACCTCGAGCGTGATTAAGGACGGTGAGTTTTTTCATTTTCGATCGCTTCTGTATTTATGTTTTCGCGGCAATTTCGAAAACTTATTCTTCTCGAATATTTGTAGGAAATATTTGTTGTCGTCGATATGGCAACATTTATCCTCGCAAAGGTTAGTCAGACTTTCCGCATTCTGTCCGCGTTGAAAAGTTAGTTACAAGAGACGAATTGCAGGTGAAAAAATTGATCGAAACATCCTTCGGTAACGCGTTGGTGCAAGTCAGGTCGTTTTCACCGCCGACAGCGAAGTTTTTCCACGAAGAAGTAGTCCGCCGGCAAGAAAAATTAGCTGATTAGTGGTTGCGTAATCTAACGAGGACAAATATCGAGTGTTCCGAACTTCCATTCAGGTCACTGGATGTTTCAACGTTCCCTATTAACACGTTGAATGCCACGGGGGTCGCCGGTGACGCCATGGGGGCCACCGGTGACCGGCGCGCCCAAATTGATAGAAATATATATAATTTCAAACAAATGTCAATATCTAAAATTTTGTATTATTACCATCGTCAATTCAAACAGTGACCCCTTGTCGCAATTAATATGTCAAACATCGTTATACACTGTAACTTATCTATTGCAGATAATATTTCAACATTATATGTATCGCGTAAAAGAAAATTCATCGTGGCGCCACGGACAATTCCTGTAAAACCGACGTGGCATTCAACGTGTTAATGGTGTTTGAAAACGAAGTCGCAGTTCGGTGAAAATATTCGACCCACCACCGCACACCTGCGTGCCTCGGAAACTGGCACAAAGTAGCAGGAGCAACCGTGTCGAGGAACGCGGGTCCAACCTCTCCCCCTCCCCTGATCTTCGGCCGAAGCATGCCTTCTGAATGGCACAATTACGTCGCTTTATTTTGCAAGTCTAATTCATTATCATTGAAATGCCGGCCTCTGTTTTATTTGCGCGCTCGCAAAAAAACGGCGGTTCCGTTCCTAGCGAGCCTGGCCCCGCATAAATNGTCGGAAAGTTTGTTTGCAGCTGGCATCCGTCGTTGCCGACGGGTCCGGTGCCGTTTTCGTGCGTCGGGGACGAAACAGCACACGCCGACCAGAGAAAATCGGCCGAGCAACGGTCCCAGGTGCCGCGGCATCAATCGTCGCGGCGTTCGGGCACGCGTATGAACCTGTGTCACAAATGACAGTCGATCGGACGGGAGGGAAAGTCAGCTGCTCGCTGGATTCGTCTGTCTAGCGGGGTAACCGGTAAGTCGAATCATTTCCAATTCGATTCCAACGGTTTAGTGGACTCTCCTGTAAAAATGGCTCCTGACGTTTCTCTTCCTGTCTTCTTTGTGTATCCACTCCCACTCTGGCCGTCTCTCGCTCTTCCCTTCCCCCTCTTTCTCTTTCCCTCTCTCTCTCTTTCTCTTGCTCGCTCACCCTCCCTCTCTTGCGATGTTCCCTATCTTCTTCTCTCTCACTCGCTTTCCACCGATCTCTACTCTCCGCCTTGCGGTATTCCTGCACGTAAATCGACCGTCGGATTTTCTTGATTCTGCTGTGGTTCTTCGTTTCCTCTCTTTTTTTTCAGGTGGTCATACTGTATGCGTGTGTTCGTGCTCAAGTGTGAATGGACCACTACTGCTTCTTAAAGTTTTCTGGGCACGCTAAAACGTTTACAAGAATGCGTTACGCGATACGAGGGAGTAAATATTATCTTGCAGCGGTACTGGAGGCGGTTACTGGCGGAGTGACCAATTGCTGTGTTATTGGTTCGTGTTCGGGTATAATAAACTTTCTGCTTATCGAATAAGACCCATTCAATTTTGTCATCGAAAAATAAACAATTAAATAAGAGGTAAGCAATTGGTCACACAGATCCAGCACCACTGTGCTATTCGTTTTCGGTGCAACGTAAACTCGCTGGTTGGGAATGTTTTGTACAAGAGGTTCGGCCATTGATAGCTCCACACGCGGCACTCGATGACCCAACCTAGACAGCACAAGTGCGTATTTCACAATTTATTGTCTCCATATTTAGTTCCATTTAGAACCTGAAAATTGCCCGTTGTATCTCCTGGAACGATAGCATGAAATGTCTGCCACCTCGTACCGCATACCGCCTCTGTACAAGCGTTTTGTTCGCGGCTATAAAACTTTAAGAGGTAATGATCCGTTTATACACAAGCGTGGACACCGCGGTACGCTTGTGTTTGACGTATCCGCGAGGCTGTCGGAATTTTAGCGAGCGTCGCGCGTGCCGCTGACAGGTCTTTAACTATCGGCCGATACGTGATTCGTTTATAAACATTCCGGACCTACCCTGCGCGATTCGAGGCGGTCAGCCCGAACCAGATGACAAGATCGCGAGTCGTTCAGGGCGCAAGTTGCACAGCAAGGAAAGATATATCCTTCGTTCTTGTAAGACAGCTTCCGCCATATTTACTTCTTGCGGGTACATAACCTAACACGACCTTGGGTCGTGCTTGAGAGATAGACAAATGGACGAGCGAACTTTCCCAGGATTCGATGGTTTCCCACGATAGCTGGATTAGAATAGCCAGAAGTTGTTTGATTTATTCATTTATGCGGAATGATCCGTCGATAGAGAAGTGTTGATGAGGAGAGGCTGTCACGCGGTAGTTTTTGCCGCGTTATTAAAGTTACAAGAAAAAACGAACCTCGAGCGTGATTAAGGACGGTGAGTTTTTTCATTTTCGATCGCTTCTGTATTTATGTTTTCGCGGCAATTTCGAAAACTTATTCTTCTCGAATATTTGTAGGAAATATTTGTTGTCGTCGATATGGCAACATTTATCCTCGCAAAGGTTAGTCAGACTTTCCGCATTCTGTCCGCGTTGAAAAGTTAGTTACAAGAGACGAATTGCAGGTGAAAAAATTGATCGAAACATCCTTCGGTAACGCGTTGGTGCAAGTCAGGTCGTTTTCACCGCCGACAGCGAAGTTTTTCCACGAAGAAGTAGTCCGCCGGCAAGAAAAATTAGCTGATTAGTGGTTGCGTAATCTAACGAGGACAAATATCGAGTGTTCCGAACTTCCATTCAGGTCACTGGATGTTTCAACGTTCCCTATTAACACGTTGAATGCCACGGGGGTCGCCGGTGACGCCATGGGGGCCACCGGTGACCGGCGCGCCCAAATTGATAGAAATATATATAATTTCAAACAAATGTCAATATCTAAAATTTTGTATTATTACCATCGTCAATTCAAACAGTGACCCCTTGTCGCAATTAATATGTCAAACATCGTTATACACTGTAACTTATCTATTGCAGATAATATTTCAACATTATATGTATCGCGTAAAAGAAAATTCATCGTGGCGCCACGGACAATTCCTGTAAAACCGACGTGGCATTCAACGTGTTAATGGTGTTTGAAAACGAAGTCGCAGTTCGGTGAAAATATTCGACCCACCACCGCACACCTGCGTGCCTCGGAAACTGGCACAAAGTAGCAGGAGCAACCGTGTCGAGGAACGCGGGTCCAACCTCTCCCCCTCCCCTGATCTTCGGCCGAAGCATGCCTTCTGAATGGCACAATTACGTCGCTTTATTTTGCAAGTCTAATTCATTATCATTGAAATGCCGGCCTCTGTTTTATTTGCGCGCTCGCAAAAAAACGGCGGTTCCGTTCCTAGCGAGCCTGGCCCCGCATAAATAAACCGTGTCCAAGAGTTTGCCATCGAATTGTAGCGTTTTAACAGTCCGCGCTGGAAAGGATGCAAATCGAGACACGAAGTCGAGCGCGGCCTGGAGGCGCCGAGCGAAATGATATCGTTGTATTCGAGTAACGAACAAGTTAGAGCGCCTCACGCTCCGCGAATATTTCAATGCTAAGGTCGTCCGATGACTGGTTCCTCGGGCAATGGGTTACAGAATGCACCAAGCTTGGTCTTCCGTGCGGATAATTAATCGCATTAATATTTAACGAGATGCGGAACCGGTTCTTGCCTCTCGGGGACACGATTCACCGAAAAGTGTCCGTTCTGTATGTACTCGCGAGCCTTTGAAATATTCCAAACTCTCTTTGAAACGCATAGTTTTGTTCGGTCAAAGGAAGCTAATTCTTTGTTTCCGTAGAATCTGTATTGTCGAATGCATAGGCATGAAAATTACCAATTATAAAATACTGAATATCATATATGAGCCGTTTATTTTGAAACTGGCATAAGTCACTTTAGCGTAATGAAAAGTGGTGATTTTTTAATGTTTATACGAAATTATTTATACCGAGAAAAATATCAGTATGCTGAGATAACAAATACAAGTAAATCTCGAAAGTTAGCATCCATATTTTTAAACGTGTTAAAACGCAAACCTTTAAATATATCGTCTTAAAAACAAAGTGACTTATGCCACTTTCAAAATAAACGGCACATATCAGGACTCTCAAAACGCAACAAACTAAACGGGGTGACCGCTGTGACGGATTATCGGTGAAATTCAGCAAATAACAATCGATCCTACGGGACCCTACGGGGCGTTAGTCCGCAAGTTAATTACGACACTGGTCGAATCCTCGGGAACCACGGGGAGCCACTTGACCGGAAGTGGACCCAAGGACAATCGCTCGTCCACGTGAACGGAACAAAAGCAGAAAAGGGGCCCCCGATGCTTCGATCGGCGGGTTAACGAACCACTGAAATGTTAATGCCTCGTTACGTCACGTTCGTTTACCGTCGTCAGAGAAAGGGGTCAAAGCGACGGAAGGAGGCGGCGGAGAAAAGAGCGCGAGGCGACTAAAAACGGCGCGGCGGCACGGTACACCATCGTGCAGATTACAGAGTCGCCGTCTCCGAACGTCCTTGTTCACTCCCCTCCCGCATTTTCGCACCTCGGTTATCGTGGAATGCACGCGTGCACTTGGTCGCCGGCCGCACCCGCTCGGACGCTTCTAATCGCCCCGCTAATTAGCCCCGAGGTCCGAGGCGAGAGTAACCCCACCCTCGCCGACCCGCAGAGTTTCCGCGTGTCGAAGCCTCGAGGAATCTGCTGGTAACGGTACGCGGTCGCTACCTGTTACGCACTCGTGCCCGGTGCGTTTACATTACGCATTACCCTGGGTTATCGCCCCCGAAATCGAAGCTCCTCGGGACCTGTGCGTATCACAGAGGACCTCTCTTCCTTTCAGACGATTGAGAAACTACGCGCAATCGTCGCCTTTTCCTTCTGTCGCCTCGACGCTGCACAGGAGACTAGAAACCCCTAAAATTGAATTCTCGAAGTTTCGTGTTTCGAACAAATTTTTATATGCCTATTTTCAAGCTTGCTTTTATGGTAACACTCGAAGATACTACTACTCATAACCTTGACTTAACCTCGACGCTGCACAGGAGACTAGAAACCCCTAAAATTGAATTCTCGAAGTTTCGTGTTTCGAACAAATTTTTATATGCCTATTTTCAAGCTTGCTTTTATGGTAACACTCGAAGATACTACTACTCATAACCTTGACTTAACCTCGACGCTGCACAGGAGACTAGAAACCCCTAAAATTGAATTCTCGAAGTTTCGTGTTTCGAACAAATTTTTATATGCCTATTTTCAAGCTTGCTTTTATGGTAACACTCGAAGATACTACTACTCATAACCTTGACTTAACCTCGACGCTGCACAGGAGACTAGAAACCCCTAAAATTGAATTCTCGAAGTTTCGTGTTTCGAACAAATTTTTATATGCCTATTTTCAAGCTTGCTTTTATGGTAACACTCGAAGATACTACTACTCATAACCTTGACTTAACCTCGACGCTGCACAGGAGACTAGAAACCCCTAAAATTGAATTCTCGAAGTTTCGTGTTTCGAACAAATTTTTATATGCCTATTTTCAAGCTTGCTTTTATGGTAACACTCGAAGATACTACTACTCATAACCTTGACTTAACCTCGACGCTGCACAGGAGACTAGAAACCCCTAAAATTGAATTCTCGAAGTTTCGTGTTTCGAACAAATTTTTATATGCCTATTTTCAAGCTTGCTTTTATGGTAACACTCGAAGATACTACTACTCATAACCTTGACTTAACCTCGACGCTGCACAGGAGACTAGAAACCCCTAAAATTGAATTCTCGAAGTTTCGTGTTTCGAACAAATTTTTATATGCCTATTTTCAAGCTTGCTTTTATGGTAACACTCGAAGATACTACTACTCATAACCTTGACTTAACCTCGACGCTGCACAGGAGACTAGAAACCCCTAAAATTGAATTCTCGAAGTTTCGTGTTTCGAACAAA